GGCACCGACAGTGAACAGTGGGTACCCAGTCCTCTGATGGAGCAGTCTGTTCCGTGGTTTAGACACGTCAAGAACTATGAATACCTGTGTCAGAGGGCTTTTGGAGAAAAACAAAGACGAATGAAGATAAGAAAACGATAAGGAAAAAAAGAAAAAGAAACAAACCAATTGCTTGGCACACGCCAAATCGTATCGCTTCTAAAATCATAAAGTTGTAGTCGACAATCGACCATCACATACCAAGATCACACAAACAAAAGAGTCAGCGCTCGTAGGAGCGCTTGAATTGACCACAGCAGGGCTCGAACCTGCAATCTCCTGATTCGTAGTCAGACGCCTTGCCATTGGGCCATGCGGCCGTTGTTGAGAGGCATCTTGTTTCGTTTGATCATAATGCTCAATTGTGATGCTGGTGGGCATTTAGCGTGCCCTAGACTGGTGACCACCCCACCAAGACCTATCATGGCTATGTTAGGCTTCCGGTGACGAATATGCCCCCAAGGTAGCCTTTCTCCAGTCCGTCATAAATCGGGGCTCTTGTTATTCACACGAGATGGTGATGACGAGCGAAACACCGGGGACGGCTTCAGGTGGCATGTTGAAGGCAGTCCGCGTCAAACAGAAGTCGATCTTTCGTGTTCTCCGCGGAACGGTGCCTGCGGGCGATCTGATGTCCTTGTACTCGTGAGACTTGTAGGCTCAGTGGCAAGTTTGCACGTATTGAATATATTGACGAGCAAGGTACGGGGGGCATACTCGCCGTCCATATTTCATAGGACGAGGAGATGAGGTCCACGGGATGCTTGGCAACGAGAGGAGAGAGACTTCTGGGACTTGTCGCGGGCTTATGAACGCTGGAGGGCGATTTTCGCCGTCAGATTTCAAGACAGAGTGGCAAGAAGACCAAGAAGGGTGTAAAGAATGCGGCGCGGTTGACAATTTTGCGCAGTTGCGTCGGGCCTTTGGGTCCTGTGATCAGGATGATTCGACGTCGATACCCGCTACCGGATCGTCACTCGGCCTTGTGCTGGTTCCACCGCTCTGTCGGTCATGGTGTTCGTGGCGAGGTGTGAGCATGATTAGGTGAACGAGCGCAATGGAAGTTGAACACACAGCTGCAGTGCAGGCTCACGATGTCAGGTGATCGTTGGTGCCTACCTATGTTTGGCCATTCCAAGACCCTGAACAAGCAAGTATAGCATGACTGCCCAAGGTAGTTGACCGCCGGACGGCAGCGCCTTGATGCCAGCCCGTCGAGGCGTGGCAGCAAGAGCGATGGAGGTTGCTTAGTTGAGTCAGCCCGCCCTGAACGAGGCCCAATCAAGGGCCTAACAATCAAATACACCCCCCACAGGGCGCTGGACGAGCCTGAAACACCTGGGGGCTGGGGCTCGCTCTCTGGGTCCTTGCCCTGAAGCATCAATAGAGGAAGTGAAGCTATTGACACGGACCCTCTGCCATCCGTCTCGGTACGCCTGGTTACCGATGCACCAAGCTCAGCCTCGCCGCCTTCAATAGGTACCTACCAAGAGAGAACAAGAATCTTCCCCTCCGGCGGTGACAAGGGTGGTGCCACGCCACGGAGACTCGGATCGCCCGTCACGCCCGCCACCAGTTGGCTACCAGCAAACCCCCTTCCAAAGAGCCCCTGGTTTCAAGGCTCACCCTGGACTCAGCCACACACTTCATAGCAGCTGTCATCATCCATCGACAGCCTCCTCTGCCATTTCACGAGGCATCATCAGCCAGTGCTCATTGATTGACTGAGGTGTTCGATCAGCAACGCGCCGATCGCGTCTTCAGTGTCACGTCTGCTTCGCCCTGTCAATGATATAACCAGCAAGTCGGTGACGCTCCTCTTGGCAATCTGGCACTGTTCACAATCATCGCCAACGTCTCATCCTCACATACCATCTTCATACACTAGCGAACGACCGCAGCTTCCTCGCTGCCATGCTCACGAACCCATGGCTGCTGGGCGGCCTCGGCGCCTTTGCCCTCGCCGTCTACCTCTATCAAGCCTTGGCATACCGCAGGTTACGACAATTTGCCCACCTTCCTCAGATCAAACCCTCTGTCGTATGGGGCCACTTGGCTGTCCTCGGCGAACACTTCAAATCAGACGGTTCAGGGACCACAGATATGGGTAGGTGTCGCCCACCTTTCCCCCTCTGTCCTCTGCCCTTTGCCCTTTGCCCTTTACCTGATACTGACCTTGGCCAGACAAAATCTTTGGGCGTATGATTGAATCCATCGGAAACCCCGAGATCATGTTGCTTGATATCCGCCCCTTTAACCACCCGATACTTTTCATACGCACGCACGAGGTCGCTGAGCAGGTCTCGAAGCAGACCAAGGCCTTTCCCTACAGCTTCGGAAAGCCCACGACCATGGACTTCCTCGAACCTCTCATCGGGCCCAGCGCCATTATCCGCATCACGGGCTCCCACTGGAAGGGCCTACGTCGCCGCTTCAACCCGGGGTTCGCCCCGCAGCATCTCATGTCCCTATTGCCCCTCATCACCGAAAAGACGGAGCCCCTACTCGCAAGCCTCGACCGTCTCGTCGCCTCTGGCGAATCCTTCACACTCGAGCCCCTGCTGACTGGCCTCACCTTTGACATTATTGGTGCCGTGACCATGGGCATCGATTTCAACGCCCAGCTGCCCGACGACAAGCAAAGCGAATTCATCCGGATGTACCGCGAGCTTCTCTTCACTTACAAGGGTGATGATGGTGGCACGCCTGCCTTTGCCCAGCCCCTCAAGCGCTGGAGACGGCGTCGCATGGCGAAGCGTGTTGATGCCCACCTCTCCCAGTTCGTCCGGGACAAGTACAACGAGCTCAAGCGCGAGGGCAAGAAGAGCCGCACCGTTCTGGCCCTCAGTCTCCAAGACGAGGATCATGTCAGCGATGCCATGATCAGCGAAACCATCGACCAGTTGAAGTCCTTCATGTTCGCCGGCCACGACACGACGAGCATCCTGCTGCAATGGGCGCTGTATGAGCTCTCCCGCACGCCCCGCGCCCTCAAGACTCTGCGCGCCGAGCTCGCAGACCTGTTTGGCGCAGACGCCACTCCCGAGACCGTGCGCGCCGTCTTTGAGGCTCGTGGCGACGACATCATGCCCAAAATGACCTACACCTCCGCTGTCATCAAGGAGGCTTTGCGCCTGTACCCGCCTGCCGGTACTGCTCGCTGGTGTCCTCCCGGCTCCAATTTCCATCTCAAGCTCGCCGACGGCTCGAGCCTCTGTGTCGACGGCACCATCCTGTACAACTGCCATACGCTCATTCAACGCGACGAGGCCGTCTATGGCTCCACCGTCAATGACTTTGTCCCTGAGCGCTGGCTGGGAAACACCAGCACCTCCGTGTCTAACGACGACGAAGAAGAAGACAGCAACAACGCCGAGAAGGCGACTATCGGCAAGGCCAGCGAGAGCGACATACCCGTGTCAGCGTGGCGGCCCTTCGAGAGGGGTCCGCGCAACTGCATCGGTCAGGAACTAGCGAACATCGAGGCAAGGATAATTCTCGCCACTGTTGTGGTCAAGTACGATTTCGTCAAGGTCGGCATGGCAGAAGCGAAGCTCGGCCAAGATGGAAAACCGTTGTTGGACGACAAAGGGCAGCATGTCTCTGACACGCAGCTCTTCAGTGTAAGTTGTTGTAAAAGCAATCGCTCAAGACATACCACTGACAAGGGACAGGATCGCCAGATTACGGCGAGGCCGAACGACGGGATAGAGGTCCGGGTGAAGTTGAGAGAGGGATGTCGGCCTTGAGCATTGTCTTGGAGCTTGAACGCGCATAGGAGAGGGGGAACACGTCGGTTTGCGACCGAACCTAACCTTTATCCTCAGGCTGGCAGCTCAATCTTGCAGAAGCGGCTGG